CCAGGACCGGCAGCCGGCAAGATGCGACCGCCCTGCCCAGCATGTCCTCAACTTTTTGGGCGTTCATGATCCTGGCCAGCCTGCTCATCGCCTACTGCAGTGAGTACGGCGCCGGCTCGGCCGAGTTGGGGGACGCGGGCCCGGGGCGCGCGGGGCTGGCGGGCCCGGCCTGGGCGCCAGGCCCCGGGTGGCACGGCGTGTCCCTGCTCGGCGGTGCCCGCGGCTGCCCGGCGAGCTGTCGCTGCTCCGGCCCGGGATCTGCCGGGGCCGGGCCGCGGATTCCCCCCGGCTGGCGCTCGCCCTCTCGTGTATGGTGAGTATTCTCCAGCTCCAGCGAGGGGCGTCCCGGGGCGCGCGGGGCTGGGGGCTGAAATGGAGCCGCGCAGATCTCCTGGCGGCCGGCGTTCGTCTGGTCGTGGTTCCCGGGAATGCCTCGCTGCGCGTTGTGGAGGAGTCGGAGCTGGCTGCTGCGCGTGCAGCCTGGGCATGTTGGAGGCAGGCTTTTCATGCCTGCGGCTCCGCTGCGTCGTGGAGACAGCCCCCCAAAGCTGCACCCAAAGTCACTCCACTTGGGTCTGGGTTCGAGAGCAGTCACTGGCCAGGAGGCCGTGGGTGAGGCACGAGCCCCCCGCTTCCCTGTCCTTAGGATATGGCTGTGGCTGGTCCTCCTGCTGTAGCGGTCCTGGGAGGTTCTGTGAGATGGCGCTGGTACCGTGCGTGGCCGGGGTCTGGCACTTGGGAAGCTGTCCATGAAATATAGCTAGGGACACCGTTCGTTAAGTGAGTCCCAGCGTGGCTTCCAACTTCCCGCAGCTGAAGCCGCTCCCACGTCTGTGTAAAGGGACAACCGTTCCGGAGGGTCTGCTCGCCGGAGGAATTCGGAGAGATGAACTCCGGCGCCTGGCATGCAGTAGGCGGCAGTGAAGCGGGGACAGTTGCTGCTGCTCATTCGCGACGCCCGGGCAGCGCGGCCGGTCACGGGAGACGAACTTGGGGAGGCTGCGCAGGGGAGAGGTCCAGGCGAACGAAGTCTCGGACGCGCAGACCGGGAGGGAGGAAGGCCGGAGCATAGCGCGAAGCGATGCGCCCGCCGGCACGCGTAGAGCGCTTCCCGGGCGGGCGCCGAGCCAGGAGGGGACGCCGCGCCCGGGACCTACCGCCGGCGGTGGCCAGGGTAGTGGCTGCCCGGCCTCTCCCCGACTGAGCGTGGGCTGCTGCGAAGCGGAAGGGAGGGGACACCTAGGTACCGATGTTTTCAGGGCGCGCAGAGCTCTGGCCTCTGGCGCGAAGCCAGGGTTCGAATTCCATCGCCACCACCGCCCGCAGTGTGACCTTGGGCAAATTCTTCAACCTCTCCCAGCTCCAGTTTCCTCTGCCGCGCTGCGCGCGCTCGGCAGAGCATTGGGCAGTGGCGATAGCACTGTCCTTTTCTCTCTGGGATTCTGCTCCCCTCCCACACCCGCGCACTAGTTTGCTGCGTCTACTATATGGACAAGAAATGCCCTTTTCACCCTTCGGGGAAACGCTCTTAAAAGGAGAATCCGGGATTTGCCTCGCTCCCTTGCTACCTATCGATCGCCCTGGGTCTTTCTGAGCCTTGTACCATCTGTTTCTGGTTCCCCTCCTTGGCGCCTCTATCCTCCTACCTTATCCTGCAGTTTCCGTCGCGCAAAGAAAACCTTCCCCTTTGGAGGGAACCTTCATTTTCTTAGGCGTTGCCAATCAATCGAGATTGTAGGCAGACAGTGTGGGAAGCATGTTATAAATATGCTGGACACGGGGGCAGCTTCTTCTCAGACGCATTACTCTCTGGTCAATTCCACTTTAAAAGTGTATTTTAAAATTGGTAATGAAAAAAAAAGTAAGCCACTTTTGGCAAACAAACAAAATCGCACTTCGTGGTCATTCCTCTCTAGTTTCCATTTTACATTGAAGTCTGGTTCATAATTCCATAAAAATAAAAGCAGCAGGGGAAAGAGATCACCATCAACAGTCACAAGACCTCAGAGAAACTGGGGAGACAATTGTTACTCATACAGTACAGGGCTTGTTTCTTTCATATCTAAAAGATCCTTCCAGGCAGCAAGCAAAAGACCAAGAGTGGAAGGAAAGTACACAGTTCACCCATCAAAAAAAAGGGGTGGGGGTGGGAATAGACATGACATTTAAATACATGACCTTAAGAAAAATGCAAATGAGATACAGATTTTCACCTCTCAAATTAGCAAATAGTCATCAATGGCATCTTTTAAAAAGAGAATTAAATCCCTCCCTGGCTTAGGCCCATCTCATGACAGACATGGAGCAAAATCTAGAATTTCTCCAACCCCTCCACCTTTCTGGTTACTGCCCACCCCCCTGTAAACACACACACACACACACACACACACCCCTTTCTCACCACTTCCTCTCATCACCCTCCATCCCCAGGCCTTCTTGCTTTTGTTCCAACCTTCCAAGGTCTGGTTCCCTTGCTGCTTCCCCTGCCTGGAATACTTTCCCTCTGCCTTCTAGCCTGACTGGCTTCCTATCTTGGAGGGACTTTTCTTCCCCTGGGAGCAGTGGCCCTGCCTGGAACCTGGGCAGAGTTTTTCAGGAGAAGACCCCATGCAGGCTTCTATACTAACATGTTCCCTGAACAGCCTGGCCTCTTGTCACAAAGCCATGTCCTCAAAAGGTCCCTTCTCTGTTGGTACACGAACAAAGGGGTTCTAAGAAGTGCTCTTCCTCTGGCGCCTGACCTGGAAAATCAAGGGGGTGGGGTGAGGGGTAGGACCCGGAGGTTGCCAGAAATCCTTGTTTTATGGTGATTTACGAAAATACAGAAACAGAGCCACACGTGCTTGGCAAAAAAGATCAACAGCTAATCAAGAACTAAATAAACCAGCAACATGTTAAAAAACAAACAAAACCTAAGTCACGTAGTATGCCAACTGGTTTCCTTGCAGCTGTTCATCTCGAAGAGCCCGGTGGTGCAGTGGCTGGCTCCACCAGGCCGTTCAAAGTTACCAGCAGCTCCTTGGGAGAATGACTGAACTTTGTAAACAGTTACAGTTCTGAAAGCCCCCAGGGGGTCACTAGGTCAGCATCCTCGATTGCAGTGTTTGGTTTGGGCTCGCCTTAAGAAATAAGACTGTTCTGAGGCTGTAGGGAAAAGAGTTGTCTGTGCTTTTAGCAGTTCACCTCAGAGTAGGTAGTAGGAACTTCATGGACCATCAGAGGACTTGCCAGGATACATGGACTTTAGAATCCCATCCTCATCTGAGACATACTTGTACCCAGAGTTGTTAGCTGCCATGAAGTAGACCCCAATTCACACAGCCGCATGCATCACACATCAAAGTGTTGTCCGCCTGCTGGTGGCATCCCTGTGGCTTGTGCTGTTGTGAAATCCATATGGTTTTTAGTAGCTGATTTGGGGAAATAAATCACCAGGCCTTTCTTCGTAGCCTGTCTTACTCTGGAAGCACTGCAAAGCTTGTTCAACATCAGACAGGCATGAGAGCCTCTGCTAAAAATCAGGTAGTGCACCTCCCTCACAGAAAGCAGGCATCTACCACTAAGTCACCCCACCCCCTGATAACCCTATTATGAAAATACATATTATTAAAAACTCGGGCCATACAGGTGGTATGTAGTGGGCATCCTTTTTCAGACCTGACAAGCCAGCTTCTAGTGAACCTTGAGTTGGTGCTGGCAAAGGAAACAGTGCCTCACCAGCACAGGATGCAAAGCATGAAGCTGGAGCCAGCCCTGGACTCCCCGGGGGCCGACCTGGCCCCAGTGGGATGGAGGCAGCCACAGTGCAATGTCCCTGCTGGGGGACAGCAAGGGAGTGTCATCCAGGCTCACAAGACACTGAAATGTGGACAGGAGACAGGTATCACGAGCCCAGGGTGGGCCTTGCTGGGGTCCTGAAAGTGCAGAGTTAGCTGGGCAGACTGTGAGAGTAATAAGCCAGAGCAGGTGTTGAAGTCCTGTAGGCAAAGCTACCTGGAACCATCTTTCTCTGAGCATTAATGGGTTAACGCTGAATCCTTGACAACATGGAGGGTGGCCTGGAAAGCTACCCTGTTTCCCTGAAAATAAGACAGTGTCTTATATTAATTTTTGCTCCCAAAGAAGCGCTAGGTCTTATTTTCAGGGGATATCTTATTTTTCCATGAAGAAGAATACGGTACACATTCATTGTTGAACATAAAAGGGGAAATTTTTTACCTGTATACGGTACGGTAGTAGTTGCCATCACAAACCAGCATAACCAGACAAACTGTGAATCCTACAGTATCAAGAATTTCTTGTTACTACCATTATTTCCATGTACAACAATCTATGGTACATTTACTCATAATCTATGGTACATTTACTTGCACTTCCTGTCTGCTCTGGCTGCACTGCGGCCAACAGTGAGCTGCGTGACAGCGCCCGCCGCCATCGAGTCCAGAGTTACGGTAGCTTTGGGAGGCCTTATTATTGGGGAGGCCTTATGTTCAGGGAGGTCTTATTTTTGGGGAATGCCTTATATTTCAGCAAGAGGTCTTTTTCGGGGGATGTCTTACTTTCAGGGAAACACGGTAGGATTAGAGGCTGGCAACCCTTGACTGTGGCCCTGGAGCAGACAAGGTCTGCCCTAAAGAAAGATGGAAGGACTTGAAGGAGGGAGATGAGAGGCAGAAACCAGAGCATGAAGGGAGCAACCAGGCATGTGGGAGAGGGGAGAGGCAGAGTTCAAGTACGGATTCTGAGATGCCTCGGTCCCTGAGGTGTCCAGGGCAGAGGGGGCAGCACGCCTATGGTGGGGGCTCCCAGGACGCCCTGGAAAGCTTCTGCTTAGGGTGGAGAGAGGCCAGCTGGTTTTAGCAGGTTATTTGAAGCAACATCCTGTCTGGGGTGGCCCGAGATTCCCCCGTGGAGGAGTCTGGTGCTGACCAGAGAGGGCTGAGCTGGAGACCAGCCTGGGAGAGGCTCCGGAGGGCTGGAACTGCAAGTCATAGAGAGACCTCACAGAGAGGGGGGAGCAGAAACTGAGGCTGTGACCTTGGGGGTGACGTTTATGGGGCAGGTATGGGGAGCCTCAGATCCTGGGGGTGGCAGGAAGCTGCTGGGGTGCACTCTGTGCTTCCCTGTGCTGGTGTTCATGGAGGGAGAGGCCAGGGTGGGGGGCACTGGTACCTTCCACGTCACCCAGTGAGGTGAGAAGTCGTGGTGAACCCTTGGCTCTGCATCTCACAGCTGGGGCCCGCAAGCTGCCAGCCACATTCTGTGAGATGGGCCCCACCCATCTTCCTCTCCCCATCTCTCCTCCCTCCCTGG